GTTAGGAGCTCTCTGAGAGGATTCTCAGAATCTTTAGGGATACGGGCCCAGAGCTGTAAGTGATATGGTTAAATCCATAAGCACGGTATCGGCATCTGTGACAGTCTAGGTGTGTTTTCACAAGGGTTTTTAAACGTGCAAGAGGGGTGTGTGTGTGTGCATGTGCACACTCATAAGGGAGGGGAAAAGTTTCACGTGTCTTAAGTGACAATGGTAACCATAGAAACAATTTAAGGGCCTGTCCTGACAAGGCTGCTGACAAAGGAGAATCTCAGCTTAAGCCGTCAGTCACCCTCCTGGAAGAACCCAAGTTTCATATTTTCCGTAGACTAAAACTATTTAGACCAAAGTGTATCCACGTGTGTGAGAGAGAGAGAGAGAAACTATCAATGAGACAAGAACAACAGCAAGAAAAGTATTTCTAAAAGTCTGCGTGAAAGTATTTCATATGGTATCTCCAGGTCACAAATCTGACTGGAAATGGGTAAAAGAACAACTTAAATTGCTTTACACCATCAAATCTACCGACGTCTAAAAAATGCATACAACCATTATAAAACCAGGCATTCAAAACATCTTATTTAAAAGACTTTAGAAGTGTATCCATTTAAAAACCTACATAGGCAAACAAAATTTAAACCTTCTCTCTACATACTCAGTTTTGTTTGAAGAACTAGATTGCGTGTGCATTCTGGAAATCAGTCATTTTTATCTTCACTTCTACTTGCCATGTAATCTACCACGCAGTGTTTTATGACCATCTTTATCTTCAGCTTTGTTGACTGAGAATGGAGGAGTGCAGCAGTCCTTTAACAATTGCATCATCTCTTCTCTTTTTAGGTAATGAAGAGTGTGCATAAGGCGGGACAAGAATACTCAAACTGGAAAAGTCAGAATTCCCCCGATTTGAAGCCCTGGCTGTACCCAGAGCAGAACACCCTTCCCATGATGGACCCCGCTGAGCTGTCAATTCAGAGAGCAGACTCACTGGAAAATGTGGATGAAAGCTCAAAGCTGGATGCTAACGAAGGGGAGGACAGCAGCTAAATTGAATGATAGTGATGGGAGGAAAGGTGGACAAAGACGGAGAGATTGAGAGGTGGACTGTAGATGGACTTGAGGTCTCCGGCTCTCTGTGATGTAACCATGATCCTCCAGTTCTAAATCGGTGTGCCTTCGAGGATGAGCAAGAGCATGAAGTGTTTACAACTGTCTGACAAGATGGAAATGAGCACAGATCAAGTTGCCATCACCTCAGTCTGTGTTGAGCTAAGCTAACTTCCACTGTACAGGGTTAGAGGTGTTGGGGTTTGAATGTGACACATTTGCAATACTACATTTACAATTGGACCAAAGACAGTCGATCTTTAGCTGCAGCTACATGAACAAATTTGAAGTGGAAGAAAGGGAAATATACTTGACTTCTAGCAGGTCATTATTAGTGACTGTGAATAGAAATAAGATTAGAAAGTTGGCAAACACCTGTGGAGAATTGTGACACTAACGTCTCTTCAGAATATTGCAAAGGAATCGGGTCTGAAAACAGCTGAAACTGTTTCAGCTCACTTTATCTTCATTTGGGGTTGTAGTCGACACAGAACGATGATAACTTTGTGATAATTTATACTTAAACACGGTTTTGTTAATATGTTCACAGCATAATGTACAGGTAGCAACTTGTGGGGCAGGTTGTCTTTAGGTTTGTAATTAGGAAGGCTCTTTTTGAAGGTGTGTTGCCTTTACTCAGACGTTGTGCAACCAAGGTGTTTGCATTGTAAATTATTACAAATGGTAGAGTTTCATTGGTCCACAAGGAAGGCACTGAAGTGAACTCCCAGTTAGGTTGTATTGCCAAGTCACAATACACACAGAATTATTGTATTTTGTTAGTTGAATATCAGTTGACCTGAAGGATTGGAATGACCATAAAGGCTTTTTTTATTTATTTATTTCAAGTTGATGTAAATTGATGAAGTAATGGCCTGGGATGAAGCCCCTGTAGGTTGACTTTTTTTCATATTAAACTATTTAATGATAACAATGTTACAAGGCATTCCTTCTTTTCTGTTTTCTTTTTCAAATAAACCTTAAGGTTAACAAGCTTTTGTACTCATTGTAATTGTCAAATAAAAGGAATGCAGTCAATCAGTTTCAAGAGAAACTGACTTCAAGGGTGAAACAAGTTTTGCTACTTGCACCAGAACAAACCGGTCCTTCTCTAGCTTTGGTTCCAGTTCTTCAAGTGCACAAAGCCAAACACTAGAAAAGGTCAAGGAGTCGAGCTTGATTTTTGTAATCGTAACCTCTATAAAAAAAAAAAATGCAAATACTGAACCCATTCAAACAAATTTTTTACATAAAAATGATCAGTGTGCAGAAATAAAGACAATACTTCGATGAAACTGGTAGCTATTAACGTACAGTTTATTGTATAAATGCATAATGCACTAAGATCCAGAGGTATTCAACTGTTTTCTATGAATGTTCCATTGTATGCAGATTTAATTTGCAGCCAGAGGTTGGATCTGCAGATTTTACTGACTATGCACATCTTGAACCATGCAGGCCAAAATTATGAAAGCACCAGACTGTCTTTGGTTTGAATTAAACCTGCAAACATTGGTGCCTCCTCACAGATAACACCCCATTACAAGCTTTACCACTACGCTACGATAAATGTTATGCACTTTAATAGCAAGTTACAAGCCATGCTCGTAAACCATTTGGCACCTCAGACACATAGTTTATGCAACAGCATTAAATCAACTCAGGCGCAGTTTATGTAAAACTCGTGCATGGAACATAGAAGTACCAAAGCCCTCAGTAGCAGTGACTGAAATGTATATTTACATCACTTAGCATTTCGTACACAATTACAAATATTTACTAAATATGAAAAAACAGCATTGTGCAATATATTCATAAATTCAACAGAGGTCGGGTGACCATAACTCATATCAAGTGATGGTGGTTTAGTCCACACATATGCAAACATCTGCAGAAATATCATAACAGGGCTTGAGAAAACATGGGAAAGGTCATCTTTAAATCCTTTGCTTGACTAGAAAATATTTATTATTTATCTGTTCTATAATTTATAGTGTAAAATCTAGTTTATAGTCTTAAAAAAAGCTCTGCATAGAAACAACTTCCTAACCATATGTTCAATCGAAGTAGAGTTCATCATGTGAAGCATGCAGAAAGGAGTATCTATGAAACTCAGTCTTTAACGTCATGTATATTTTCCTTACATGAAAGACTGAATGAGATTGTTAGTCATGCATTAGTCATCTTTGAGCTGAGACAGAATGGAGGCCAGAGTGTGTGGGAGGATGTTAGTGAAGTGCAGTAAAGTATCCTTCTGTCTTTGTCTCTCTCTCTCTGCTGCCATCTAGTGTACGGTCCTCTCCTTCTGCCGTTGGTAGTCTGATAAAACAACACACAAAGGACACCATTAGAGTACTGACATGGGCACTGTTATACATTTCTGTATCAGTATGACATAGCTCAAAGTTTTTACTGCTTTAAAGTTTTTATTGTCTTTTGTTTTTGCACTCAGATAAGCCAGACGATAATCTTATTATTATGTGGGCACGATGACACGATGGCACACTGACAATGCTCAAATTCTTGCAAAATTCAGCATGTTTTAAACATATAACTCATGCTGTATTAGCACACTGAGGAATAGTAAAAGGCACAGACTAAAACCTGCTTTCAAAGCCAAAGTGAGCACAACAGTTTCTTCTGAGCATTTCTTTTACTTAACCTAACAGCAAAACAGGACTCAGACATTTAAGGACATTAAGTGTAGATCTGTCTTAAAATAATATCTTACAAGATCTCTACCCATGAACACAAATTCTGCAGGAAAACATTTTTTTCTTTCTTTCTTCATCTCTCTAAAACATCTTAACATTTGAGATAAAAACACATGTTGACATAAATGTTTTTTTAGGTTGTCATCATGCTCCTGATACAATCGAGTAAACCAACGCTTACTGTAGGGAAAGAAGCGAACCCTCATCAGGATTTCTCGCGCAGTTTTCAGAATCTCTACAGCCTGAAGAAGACAAACATTATCCATGATCTTAAACAGAAAATATAATGCAATGTTGTGATGAACAAGATATGGAACAAAAAGAAAACTGCAACATTTGGCTCCACCTAATCTTGCGTTTTTTTAGTATGAGATCTGCTGTTTCACTGGAAGAGCAGATAGATCAGGAGGACAAGCAAAAACCTGTCCTCCTGACAAGTTTCCAAATACAGAAACCATCTGTGAGTAGATGCTTTCTGTATTTGCACATTAATGCTACAACATGCATTTGCATGTCAAATTTTTTTTTTTTTTTTTAAAGCTAATATTTACACATTAGACTAAATGTCTAAATATTTACATGCTGCAACAGGAACTGAATTTTTCAAAATAAAAGCAAAATGTATATCTCCTCAAGCATTGCTGATTTTAAACAAACAAAACAGAACACAAAACAATTATGGTGCATCTAGTGCGTCATCATTCTCACAGCAGTTTGATTATGGCCAGAATGGCTTACACTTTAATTCTCTTCTAGAAAGTCATTCACGCTTGAAAAAATATGCAGGGAAAAAAGTTTCAAGCCTCTTTTGTTTTGATTTTGATCATTATGGCTTTACAGCTCATGAAAATCAGAAATCCACCATCTCAAACTACAACAATATTTCAATTTCAGTTTGAACAAATTATGGTTCAAATAGTACAAATAAGGTGCATTTCTTATTCTCGTTCAGTTCATGCAACCACAATCACAGGGAAGTCTGCTGACTGACAGCCTTCCATGACGAGGGCAAACCACAGAAGGCCAGTGCTGAAAAGACTGGCTGGTCGGTGCTGTGTCAAAGCATATCAATGGAAACCTGGCTGGGAAAAACAAAATATGACATGGTGGGGAAGTATCCACAAGCAGCTTTGAGAGGACTGTCAGGATAACTCCATCACAGAAGGTGGGAGACCTTCACAAGGAGTGGACTGAGGCTGGTGTCAGTGCATCAGGAGCAGCTTTGACATCAGTTCAAAGCTTAGTTCGAAGTTTTTCACATGAAAGTAATTTTTTTTTGTTTCATTTCGAAATCAAGTTCCTAGACTCTGAAAGAAGACATTTTAGAGCACTTGATGCTTCCAACTGCCGGCAAGATTCATGGAGATGCCAATTTCCTTTTACAGCAGGACTTAACACCTGCCCACGATGCCAAAACTACCAAATGGTTTGCTCACCATGTTATTGCTGTGCTTGAATAACCAGCCGTCTCGCCTGACCTGAATCCCACAGAGAATCAATGGCATACTGTCAAAAGGAAGATAACAAACACCCAACACAAAAACACAGACGAGCTGAAGGACACCATCAGGCCAACCAGGGCTTCAGTAACACCTCCGCAGTGCCACAAACTGATCACCTCCATGTCACACTGCACTGATGTAGTAAATCATGGAAACAGAGCATTGTCCAAGTACTGAAAGAATAGGTGAACACACTTTTCAGAAACTGGACATAGTAAGATTCCAAATCCTTTTTTGATCTGAAATATTCTACTAATTTGAGATAGTGGACTTCTGATTTTCATGAGTTATAATCCATCATTTTTTGAATGAAGGTACAAAAACAAATGAACTTTTTTTTTGTAATATTCAAATGTTTTGAGATGCACTTGTATATAATGCTCATTGTGAGTATAAATGTCATGGTAATTTTTAATGGTAAAAATGAACTCCAATTCCGCCAAGAACAGTGGTCAAATATCCCGTCAGAATAATTCAAGAACAGGACCACGTTCATGACAGGGTTAAGTTTGTTTTACAAGTATAGCCACAATGTGTGAATGAGTGTGTAACTAATAATCCAAGAATAATAAAAAGCATCTGGTTGAGGTGCAACTTGCTAAGAGACATTCAACCAAATAACAATGAGGGTGTAGGGATATTTCTGAAAATAAATTTAAAATGTATAAAATGAATAAAATCTCTAAATGTTGTCTCAAATACTTATATTTTTAAATCTAACTTAGATTTAATTTAATAATTTACCTCATTGCTGATACTCTTGTTGTTGCAGAATAGGGTAAAAATTTCACCCTCAGTATATAAAAGGGTATCCAATATCAAGTATTTTCCCGGGTATAGGTATCAATTTTTTTCAACTCTTGAAATTTTGAAATACAAATAAAACAATATGTCTAGATTATCCTATACCGCACTCCCCCAAATTAAAGTTGACTTACTTTTTGTAATAGTGAGCTTGATATTGACACAAAAAATTATTATCGTGATCACCATTATAGGTTTACTTGAGCAACCCCGCCTTGAATATGTTCTGACTATATTGACGATTAAAGAGCACAGCATAGTATGTGAAGCTATTTGTTATTCTTGTACATACATGAATAGAAATACACCTAAACTAAATCAGATTTATGAATAGAGTAGATTTCAATATGTAAGTGTGTGCTGGAGACAATGTGTTGAATAAAGCCTGTTTGAAATTCAGCCTCGACTTACTCTTGAGTGCTCTATGTCTTGGAAATCAACATCATTCACTGAAAGAACCTGGTCTCCCTCCTGTAGCCCTGCTCTGTGGGCGTCTGAATCTGGGACCACCTGCCAGCACACAGAAATGATTTAAATTGATTAAAAATAGGCAAACAAATAGTCAGCAGCACAGCAAGAAAAAAAAAAACCCCACATTAATAACCAGGGCTGTGCACGCACCTTGGATATAAAGATCCCTAACTGTGAAGCTTTCCCACCACGGATATTGAAGCCCAGCTGCGCTCCTGGAGGCTTCTTCAACACAATGGTGCGAGGCAGAAACTGTGTGAGCTCATTGTTATAGTCAGGATGATGAACCCGCTAAAAATGAACCAACAGAAGAAGAACAGCCAGCAATATTTAGCTTCTTTAAGTTTGCTTCTTCTGCCTTAAAAAGGCTAAGAGTGATAAGAGTCAAGCGCCTTGCAGAATCACATCACATAATACATATTCAGCATCACCTGTTTGGAAAATAAGCAGATCAGTAACAACAACAAAAAAAGGTATTTCCTTTGGGATAATAAAATCT